TGTTGTACTTTTTCTTGTTCTTGTTTAGGGAGACAGCAGCTGTTAATAAGGTGTTAAGCAATTTAATTTTATTGAATTTTTTTGGAGCTAGGTATGGGTTCCTGCCTACAAACGTACTTATTTGAAAGCGAGCCCTTGGCGTGCTCCCTTTTTTACTCTGAGCCCGGTCTCTCTTTTAATTGGCTACACGTCCTATGCACGTGTCTATGCCTCTGCTTGGAATGGCTCGGGCCCAGGCCGGATATGAAGCGTCTGGGTACTGCTTTTTGGTACTTAGGTACTTATTGTCGTCAACGACATGTTTCTCAATCGCTTGATGCCTTATAATGGTGTTTTCTATGTTTGTGTGATTCCTGCTGTTCTTTTTTGTTACGCACTTTATTGTTTTTCTCATAAATTTACGCTCTCTTGCACTCTGGTTTTTTGGTATTTGGTTCTGTTTTCGAATTATTTTTAGCCCGTAAGTCGTTAACATGCTTTTATTTAATGCCATTTTGATGTGGCGCAAAGAAATTGCCACTGGAATTTATCACCGTAATTAAGTGATGAAAAATGCTTGAAATACTGGCCAGGCCAATAGGGCGTTTCTCCCTCTCCCACCACATCACATATCTCGTTTTCACCATTGACATGAACATGAAAATAAATTCTCATACACTGCGTTGCCATGTAGATACGAAATTGCAATTGGCAATACAAAGAGCCATTTGTATTTCCGTTTTTTTCCTCCCTTTGCTTGTTTAGAGCAATTCCAGTTACATGACGTCTGACTCGTTGCAATTAAACTTTGAAATTTATGAGTTCTCTCGCCATTTTGGCCATTTTGAGCAGTTTTTGGTTTCCCTTATAAAGTTGTGGCAACAGGCGTCTAATTAAATGTTTGTTATTATTTTCATCTCTCTGAAAAAACGGATGGCTTGAGCACGGTTGGCCAGGCTTGGGTTTCCACCCAACAAGTATATTTATTTTTATTTACATTTTTGCCGCCCTTTCTCCGTTATAGAATTGCAATTCTCTGTCACTTTAAAAAAAATAAGCGAAACAATTTTCACCACTTCATGGCAGCGGATACGTTTTATTTTTTATAAACAGGGGGTACTTCATTGTCGGCCTGACACATTTACAACCATTAGGCTAGCAATTTAAGCTTTAAATTGCTTAATTACTAAAAATGTAAAATTTTATTTATGAAAATAAAACTGCGACGTTTTTTCGATTGGTTAGTAAATAAAATCATTCGACAATAATGGTTATTATTATTTTATTGCGAAAAAAATGTAATACAAAAATGCATTAATTTGCAGAAAAAAAAATGTATTTCAAATGCGTAAGACTTTTTGTGAATATTAAATTGATTTATTGTAATGCTGTTTTCTTGTAACTATGTTTACAATTGCGCAACAATTTCCGTTCGAAGCCGCATCCACAAGCTACAATGAGATAAAAACACGTCATTTCTATACAAATACACAATAGTCATATATGTTTTGAAACGTTTTCATTTCTAAATTTCATTCACGTCATTATATATATATTATAAATATATACATATTAAAAACACAGACTTTCGAAGGGCGTAAGACGTTCACTATAAAGAAGGTCGAAAAAGCCTTTAAAATGAACCACTTCCAAGATAAGCAGGAAAATAAACTAATGAACAACACCTTTCGCAAATCATAATTTTGCTCGATTGACAACGAGAGACATTGATGATGCCGTTGGCATTTCTAATGGATCAGTCATTATCATTTCAAGAGAACTTTTGTGCCTCGTAAATGTCAAAACTTGCTTGGTCCAACAAGGACCGTGCAGTGGTATTCGTTCTTCATGACCATTTCACCGGAAACAAGGCGCATATTCCAGATCCACCGTATTCGCTGATTAACTCTGGCTATTCATTAAATTGAAAATACCACATTGGGCACACCCTTTTAACTCGATTGAGGAGATTCAAGTCGAATCGAAAAGGGAACTGAATTTTTCGTACAACTTTGGGTTGGCATACTATACGTATGTGTAATGTATCCGGACGGGCTTATATTGAGGGCAATAGAAATTATAATAAATAGTGCAGATCATATTTGTACACAGTAGTGCATTGAATTTAAATTAATGTATTAGAATTATAAATTGAAGACGGTTCTGTCTAAAGGTTTTAATTTTCATCTTAATTGAATATGCAATTGCTGGTGCTATTGTTTTGCACTAAAGTCAATACTCATCCTTTAATGCGTACTTATACACTTGAAATAAAACGGGCTTTTAAGTCAGTTCCAATGCCAATTTATGCAGTGACAGGCCGTGAGTTTCGTTGTTCGTTGTTCGTTGTTTGCTGTTGTACTTGATGAGTTTGTTCATTCGTCTGATTTGCACGCATCAACACGCACATGCCGACAGTTTAATTAATGGCATCACGTGCGAGCTGTGCATGCAAATACATATATACTACAAGTATATGCACATGTGCGTGGTGAAAAATCGGGCGGAAAACGAGAGTACATCGATCGTTTAATGCTGTAAATTTATACAGTACACATGCAGACGGGTATTTGTGTGCGTGCCATGTCTGTCTTTGATGTTTTTGTATATGGAATTCAATTTAAAGCTTCATTTACAAACTTAGTACTTCAAATTAATTTCATTGAAAACTTGCCGAGATGTTTTAAATTCAATACACGCACACAGCTTGGGCGATGGAGACCTTATAAACTTGATAACACTTAAGTTACCTTTGCCGAGGAACATATACTATACATATGCACTGTGTATGTGTGTGGGGCCCTTTTAGGCTATGGCTTGGTGTCAGCTGACTGGGAATTTTAATGTTGAGAAAATGTTGAAAAAAAAAAACAAGGACAAAAAAGAGAACAAACGATAGAAGCAGAATATGAAGCAAACATCAACATACGAACTGCCGTAAAACATTTAAATTAACGTCTCCTTTAAAACAGTTACATTGTACATGTGTGCGTGATGTTGTTTCAAAAGACATTCACGGAATGGCGCCATAAATGACAAAAGGGTCACAGTCATGCGCTTACACACACCCGCAGACACCGACAGACTGGCATGTCCATAAAGATAAAAACCATAACGTGAACATAAACTGCAAAGGCACTGACAGTTTGTTTTTGTTGTTGTTTTTGCTTGTGTGTTTGTATTTGGGATTGCTTTCAGCGAATATACATATGTACATATACGCAGAATACAGATAAGCGAACACAGTTACTTACCCAAAAAGAGGTTGCGCACTATGGTAGCATTATAACTTACAGCACAGAGCAGATAACACACGCATCTGCAATAAAAGGTGCACAGGCTGTGTGTGTACTACGATGCGAATGAGTAATATTTTGTAGAAAAAAATACACTTTCAACGAATAGCTCCACTTTATCAATTTTGTATGCAAGAACTGGTGTGTTGCACTGCACATAAAACCGTAAGACCAGTTACAGTGCATCATTACACATATAGCGTGAGCTTCCTGAAAATATGTCAAATTCCTGGCCCTGTTAGAAAAATTTGGTACGCCTTTTGCATTGAGTGAATATTCTTTGATAACCGTCACAATTAGAAGACATATAATTAGTATGCCAGGGTCTGCCTTGGTACTTACAAAATATAAAATATTCATTGATGAAATTAGTGTGTCTTTGTTTGAAAACAAAAATTAAATTTGGAATTATATACTTTAATAAAAACCATATGAGTATACAAGAGTATATCCACTGAAAAATATTGATAAAAATATACCTTAGTTGTCAATTAGGCTCAGTAAAATATTTAATATTTGAAATAACCAAATAGAAATGAAATCCTTTAATATTAGTTAGCGGCATAATTAGATGACTTGCGTTGTAATTTTGATTTATCGTTGTAATTTTTGATTAAATGCCGCTGAAGATGAAGCTCTAAGTACTGTTTATATTAAAGGGGCGTACTTACGGAAACTGGGCTTTCCCTTGCCATAGTCCATTCATATCCAATGCACCACTGAATTATTCATAAAAGTACTTGTATAATGTTTTTATGCATTTAAATGACTTTTGATTATTTTATTCATTAATTTTACACATTTAATGCATTTTTATAATTATTAATTATATAACATTTACATTTAGAGTTTTTTAATTTACAAGTTTTTGCAATTTTTGTAAAATTCTTTTAGCACAGTTTTGAAATTCTCGCTTTGTGTATAAATATGCAATTTATTATGTTGGGTTAAATACTTTCGGTTTAAGTTCTATTTAACTATTGCTATATATTTAGCCGAGCAGGATTTGGTACATGATTTTGTCATTAATGTGTAAAATACTATATATTATTATTACTATTTTAACTTTTTTTTTGGCAGAGATATGTATGTATATTTTACATTAAACATAATTAAATAGTTGTGTATGCTCGTTTTGTTTATAGCTCTCGTTATTTGAATGACATAATGGTCGCGCATTATTTTTAACATGACTTTTTTAATGATGCATTATATTTTATCGTGAAATAGTTCAGTTTCAATTAGGAAGCAGTATATTTCAATTAATTTACAGTTCTTAAATTAATTTTAAATGCTTGTTGCCATTCGCGTAAAACACATGATTTTCAACAAAATGGCTGCAGCTGTGTGTGTGTTTGTGTGTTTGTGTGTGTTCATGTGAACGTGTGTAGATGTTGTGTTTAGGCGAGTATTTGAGGTTAGCCAACAGCAAAATATTTACAACATGGGGCTCATTATAGTTGCAAATTATTTCTGCTATTGTCAATTTGTTTTATATAAACACAATGTTCATTGAAATCAGGTGTTTTAGGCTCATTAGCGGAAGCATCAAAGCTAATCCTAAGTAATTAGCATAAATTCTACAAACATACATACAAATATATCTAAATAAGTGCTAAGCGTATAACAATACAATTCAATTTTCATTAAAGTCTTTTGTAATAAAACTTGCATCAAATATAACCTTTGGCAATCAATCCGTTAATCAATTAAACTAATCTCGTGTTAAGCTACTAAGCTTGGCTTTTATTTTAAGTTTACTTGTATGTTTTTACTTACACAGAAACCTCCTTGGTATATTTGGAGCGATCGTTAAGATCAAGCACCAGCTTATCGGGCCGTTTCGGTCGTGCGCTTGAGGCTGGCGTGGCGCCGGGAGTTGTCCCGCTGCTGTTATTCGTCTTGTCCGTTTGGCTAGTGGAGTTATTCGATGTTTGGGAAACATTGCCCAGAGATTGGGTGGCGATCTCACTCGGCCCTGGAACTAACTGTGTGGGCTCAATCGACGTCGCACGGATGCTTGCCCTGTCACTATAAACACTTTCATTGTCTTCATTGCCGTCCGCGTCCCTGAGCTCGGCGGTGCCTGTCGTTGTGGTCTTATAGAGGCTGATGTCGTCAGTGGAGCGTGTGGCTTTTGTGGCTGCCACATGACTGCGCGTTTGACTCATCTGTGTGCCCACCGTTGGTAATGTTTGCGTCGAGCTGCCTCGAGCTGTGCCATCGCTAAGCCTATACTTATTTCTACAGTTATCACAAATTTGATACGAAATGCTGACCTCAGCCTCCAGCATATTCCGAGCGCCACGCTTACAGCTGGCCGGAGGCGTATTGGTTGCAGCCGTTCTCACTGCCGGTCGTCGGCGTTGTGCTTGGGCCAGCTGGTCACTAGACACTGTCGTAACTGCCGCCACTGTGGAGGTAGTGGCCTGCAGCATATCCAGATCGTCGGACTGTGAGCACATGCAGTCCAGTTTGATGTTGGCAAAGCTAATACTGCCCTCCTGTTGTGGCGAGCCCAGTTGCTCGCAGGCAGTGCGCGGTGCGCAGCAGTAGTAATGCTCTTTGGATGCATCCAGGCAGCGACTGCAGATAATGTGCCCATCGGCAGAGCGTCGGAGCAGCTGTTCGCGAAAATCGTCGCCACTAAGGTCTGTGTTGATGGCGCGCTCTTCATAGGCAGCAGAGGGCGGTGTCGACGATGGTGGCGTCTCCAGCACCATGGTTGGTATACTGGTGCGTGCGGCACGTGCTCCGTTGCTGGTGCTGTTGTTGTTGTGCGATTGCGGCTGAATTTGCTGGTTGTACTTTTGCATTTCAGCGTTCAGGGCCAACAAGGGTAGAGCTCCTTGACGAAGCGTCGAAGTGTTGGCACTTGTTGCGTGTGTGGCAGCTGCGGCTACCATCATCATGCCGCCGGGAGTTTTCAGACCATCCAGCAGACTCGATATGGTCATAACAGCAACGCCCTTGGGCGGAGCCATCTCTTGGATGCGCTGCAGCTGTATGCTCAGCTGTCGAATCTCCTCCAGAGCTTCTTGGTCAGACAGTTTGTTCTCTGTAAAGGCATGGGATAGCGCTATTGTGGGTTCGTGAATACTTCAAGCTACTGTTCTCTGTCAATTACAACAACGCAAAAAAGTGCTGCATTTACATGCTAAACAAAACTTTCAACTCTGAAAAAGTTGCCTCGTTTTCCGGGAACTTTTTCACTAACGCAAAACTTGTGCCGGCGACCAACAATAACATCAACAACAACAACAACAACATAAATAAAAAAACCATGTCAAAAGTTGTTGGCATCGGTAATGCTTCACCAGAAAATTTTAAATGAGTAATGCTGTAACCACGGCCTTCTCCCCTACACCTCCACCATCGTCTTAATATGTCTGCAAGTCGCATGCAAACAAGAAGCGCGTTTGTTTTTTGGCCATCGCGTTGTGGGATAATGCGGGCGATGTGGGTCGTGGCATGGTAGGATGGCGTTGGCCGGCTTGTTTAAGTGACTTTAGTTGTAGATGTTGCTGTTGGCGCTGCCACCGCAGCCGCCTTTTTTGTTCCCATGTTGTTGCGGTTGTTGTTGGTTGTTGTGGCTTGTTTTTTCGGAAGACATCCGTGTGTGTACTTGTGTGTGGCTAGTGAACATGATAAATGGATGCCATGATGCCGCTCAATTCAAGCGAAAGCCTGTCAGAGTGATTTAAGTGGGTGAGACTCAATGTAACACGACTTTCAAATGGAACCGCGCTAAAAAACTTTTAAAAATTTAGATTTATAGCCTTGAAATTAAGCTCACAGACGGCAGCGGCAACCAAAAATTGAATTTATTATGTGCGCCCCCCCCCCCCCCCCCCCCCAAAAAAAAACGAAGGCTACTCTTTTATTCCAGCAACTTTTTTAAATTCAACCACACACGGCCACACGCACACCCACACAATGAGTGAGTAACGACTGTGTGTGTGTGATTGTCCGCAGACATCGGGACTTTCAAGCTAGACTCCGCTGCTTCTTGACTGTTTAATTTAAATATGCAAATAGAAGCCGCTTATAATACACACGCCAAAGCAGAACAAAAAAATGTACATACAAGTATACTCGCATACACACACACACAATAAAAAGCGCACGACAAAAGTGTAGGCGGAGCAAAAAAAGAACATCAGAGAGAGGAAAAAAGAAAACAGAATGGAAGAAAAAATTGCAAATTTAACGCACAATTTACGCAAGGCCAAATGGCGGCCACAAATGTTGAAGGCATTTGGCAACAACGACCGGGCACGTAATACGAAATAAAAATAATAAAAAATTAAATAAAAAGCGGCACTCGGGCCCAACTCTTAGAAATTCGCCATAAAGCATTAAAACATAAAGCGCGCCGCTTGCGATAAACTTTGACTGCAAACCAAATTAAAAAGGCAAGCGCCAAGCAGCTTAAAATACACATAATAAAACAATGCTAAGTCAAGAGGCTATGTATATGATTAAAATTATGGCTTTACGGTAGCAATGAAACCGGTTAAGGCGCAAAGAACAAGAGTTGGCCCTGAATGGCTTGAGCCTCGTTCGAGGTAAAATGAAGGTATAGCTCGGAAGTTTTTTGTAGGGCACTACTTTGTTATGCAGTTGACTTGCCTCACTTTTTTCTATAGACCAGCCATTCTTCTGTGCTTATTTGTTTATGCCGACATAAGCCAAGATAAACAGATATGGCAGCCTCCTTTTGAAAAAGTTACTAACGGAAGTTCGGGCTTTGTTAAAGCACGCACACAGACATACACAACTGAATAAAGTTTACCACCACAAACGCAAACGGAAATTGTTAAACCATACACATTACGCACTGACAGAAATGTATGTGTGTGTGTATGCGTGTAAGTTAATAATAACAACACTAAAAGTACTCTGGTCAACGCTCCGATTCGGTTACACCAGCTTGCACTGCAGAATCAGCGTCTCGTCGGCTTCCGCCACATGCCAAGCCAGCGCAGTTGCAACATAAAATTCACTGTAAGTCAAATTGTGCTGACATGGCCAAGTTTCTTCAACGTGAGGTTCGCTGCATCGCCGACTGACGGGAAGCGCCGCTGCCAGCGTCACTGAAGGCGTCCACAGCTAGCGTAGGGCTAAACTTAAGTTTATAAATTTAGTCTTAAATTTGTATCCAAACTGAAAGGTCTTAATTGACCGATGAATAAATATAATTTTTTCCAATAATTAAACATTGTGAAATTTAACTGGCGCCCGAGCAGGGACCAACGACGCGCGATAGAACAAAAAGTTTTCTAAGTGTGCGGTCGGACAACATAGCAAAAAGTCTATACGTCGCGACCAATTCGTTGGCAAAGAAAAAAACTATTCGGTTCGAATAAGACTCCCGCACAAAATCGCGGTCGACCAATAGTGCGGAACTTAATTGTTCAAATAAAATTTAATCAGTGGTCCACACATCCTGTCAGGCTCGCCCGCAGGATAACTTGCAAGCAGTACGCATCGCAGGAGCCCTAGTAGGAATCTGGAGAGACCAAAAAGGATGACATCCGGATCGTCGGCAAGAGTGGCCACAACAACACTCCTAATGTAAGCTAGTGAATAAGTTAACACAAAAACGAAAATTTGCAACCAAAAACATTAAATAAGCAAACATAAAAACAAAAATTTTAAATAAAAAACGAAAAAAGAATTATAAACAAAACCTTAAGCTAAGTGAATAGTACAAGGTGATTGAATAAAACAGTGTAAAACGATCAAATACTACGTCTTAACTGCGTTGACAAAGGAAATTTATTTCCTTCGAGCAGTATAATATAACCCAATCCTGCGAATCCTTAAAGGACCCTCCAGGGTAAAAGGGTAAAACCAGCTACTTGGTTTTCAACAAGTTTTCATAAATAAATACGAACCTTTTACAAATAAATTATAAATAAAACCTCGAAAAAATCCCTTGTAAAGTAAGAAGAAATAATAAGTGACAATTGTTGCCCAATATTTTCACACACACACACACGAATTTGAAATCCAAAGCCACAAATAAAATAAAGGCAAATAAAATACCACACAAACACACACACTCACGTCAAATAACAAATACAGGGGGCAACATTGTCAAAACAACGAAGAAAAATATTAGTGCATTGATAAAGTTGGCATTTAGTCCTACCATTTCACACTTTGGATTTTACATCTGCATGTTATATTTCATTATTTTTAAACGTTCAATACATTTGCTTTAATTTTCATATTTATATTCTTATACCTTTGTATTTTTGCATTTTGACATTTTGTATTTCTATTTTTGATACACTGACATTTCTATTAACTACGACACCAAATTTCCCGAATAAGCTATATGGCAAATCAAGATAATTTAATTAGACCAGCCGTTATTGATTTAGACGAACAAATACAAGAAGGGGAGCGACAACTAAGATCGCAGCAACGACAGTTACAGAGACAGTTAGAATTTCAACAACAGAGAAATATGGAGGAACAGCAAGCACTGCTAGCCCTTATTACAGACTCCGCCACGCGAGTAATTAACGAACAAGTGCCAGCTCTAGTTAGAGAAATAGTCAACCCAAGTCAGAATTTCTTAAATGAACCAGATCAAGAGATTAGGCCAGAACATCGGGCAAACTTGGCTGACTTAGATAGAGTGCCAGACGTGGTGAAGTGTCTTCGCGAATTCTCAGGAGATCCCTCTCAATTTAACTCATGGAAAAAGGGAGTAGACAGGATATTAGAGAACTATGAGTCCCAACGGGGCACCCCAAAATATTTTGGCATCTTGCATACCATACGCAACAAAATAATTGGCAATGCCGACATAGCCTTGGAATCATACAATGTTCCATTAAATTGGGGTGCCATGTCGAAGTGCTTAACACTGCACTATGCGGACAAACGTGACTTGAGTACGTTAGAATATCAGATGACAACGATAGTTCAGACCAACAACCAAACAGTGGAGGAATTCCACCAAGCGGTCTACAAACACCTGTCTCTGATTTTAAATAAAATTGGTTGCATGGAATTGTCACGGGAATCAGAACAATTAATGACTAAACTTTATCGAGATAAAGCTTTAGATACATTTGTTCGGGGTCTTAGAGGCGACCTCCCACGTCTGCTGGGCATGAAGGAACCAGCTGACCTGCCACAAGCCCTGCACTTGTGCCTGAAAATTGAGAATCAGACCTTCAGGTCTAACCACGCAGCCACTAGGGCACAGCCCATCGGTTTCCGACCATTAGGACAGAAACCAATTCCAATGCCCAGACAAACAATTACACCAAGTAATTCAGTTAACCACCAACAATCAATCAACTTCCGTCAACAGCCAACCCACTTTCGTCAAGAACCACAATGGGGGCAACAACTCCATAGAAATTTCCAAAATTATCCAAACCTCCACCAACGTGACAGACATATTTACCAACAACAACCAATTGCCCCACCTCGCCCTTCGGCACCAAAACCGCTGCCACGCCCAGAACCTATGGACGTGGATCCCAGCATCCGAACTAGACAAATCAACTACATGAACCGACCAAATTTCGAGACTGGTAAGCGACCTTTAAGTAATATGCTGCCAGCAGACAAAAGACAAAGGAATTTCAATATCGAAAGCAACGAAAACGAAACGAACGGCACGGACAACACAGTGACAGACTATGAACAAACAATCGACAATTACGAAACGACCGACGAACCTGGGGAAACATTAGAAGAATACCAGGAACGATTCAATTACGACTACAGTACTGATACACCACAAGTTGAATATGCCGACGTACATTTTTTTAGAGTAGAAAGCTCCTCTCTACCTTACTTTGAAGCAAGAGTGAGGGGCGGACAAACTTTGAAAATTCTCATTGACACCGGCTCCAACCGCAATTATATCAAACCAACCCTAGTTTCAAACCCAATCCCAAATAATAAACCTTTCGAAGCCATATCAGTGGGTGGCAATATAAAAGTCACACACCATAAAATTGCGAACTTATTTAACATGTCCGCTGTCCCAATTAAGTTTTTCCTACTGCCCACTCTGAAATCATT